CACATAAGATGAGATGGTGTGTCACCACAGGCTGCGATTTCTTCTGAGAACTGACATCGGGAAGGAAGTAACTTTATGAGGCAGAAAATTAAAGACCCCCCCCCTTCCACCCTCACTGTGCCTTCCCACAGTCAGAACACATGTGTCTATTTTCCGAAAAGCCAGAAAACAAGGTATTGATTGGATATAAAGGATCAAAGACTCTGGTAGTAAATGATCAAATCAAATGCTTGAGTCGGGACTGTGAAACCAGAATCACCTTCCCCATAACCATCCCTCTTCTATTTTGGGCTCTTATGCCTGGTGCAGGGAAATGGACTCAGTAACTTTTAAAACAAGGACTGTGCTATAACTGGAGGCCAGCAGGAATCCAGAAGAGAAATGTACCAAGAGAAGTGTGCTCTGTAAGAGAGCTTACTGCACCGGACCATTCTTGGCAATTCTTTGTGAACCAAAGCTCCAGACTGAAAAGCCCTTTGGCTTCGTATTTCCATTTTGTACAGTCAGGTGATTAATCCATAGATTACTGGTATTGGTTTATGCTGACAACCAACTATAAGCTTCAATTAGAGTATCCTGAAACACTCATCACCCCAACCTATATCAGAATGAACGTGTCGTATCGTATGTAGACAAAGTAAGTGTGCATCAGTGCCAATGGCATTTCGTGCTTCTCAGAACTCAGCTGGGGTTGAAATAATTGTTGTGGTCATGAGGTGTAGAGGAGTCCAGGCTTTTCCAGATGGCTATCAGAGACTTCCTGTAGCCACAACATCATTATACAATCCATATTCTCATTTCTGGGAAGGATTGATTGTTCAAGATCTTACCTTGATCTTCTTTTGATGTCTGCCCCAGAGACAGAAGATAGAATGGGAAATGGGATTTAAACTGAGCTGAGAAGGTCAGTGGGCAGAAAAAGTGACTCACTCATTTTCCAGAGAAATGAAACAGTGTGGTATATTGGTTAACAGTTTGTTCTCAGAGACCAGAACTGGTTTTCTAACTCTTTCTTAAATCTGGTTGTCCTTACTGTGGGTCTGCATTTGCTAGTGTAACGCTGATTTTAAGGAAGAGATTCAACTAAGTGTATGTTAGTTCAAATGCCATTGTTCACCTCTCACTCCTGACATCCAAAGGTGAATCCCACTAGAACAGCAGGCAGTTGCCCCCATGCAGCGGCTCAGGGACCCACACTCCTTCCATCTTGTGGCTCTGACATCTCCTAGGGTCTTCAGATTGCAGCTGGTGTGGTAAGCACAATACTGGGCAGATCCTCTTCAATGCCTAAGCTAAGCTAAGACACATCACAGCCACTCGCTCACATTTTAGGGAAAAAAAATCAATTAACCACGGAGTCACCTTAGATAGGGGGCTGGGAACGTCTCTGTCTAAGGAGCCATGTCCTAGGGGCAATTCTGCAACTATGGACACAGAGAGGCATGGATTTTAGTAGATGGATAGCTGTATCTGTGATAGGCATATTTATTAGAGATGACAGATTTAGTAGAAGAAACCAACAAATATTGGTTTAAGGCCAAGTACTTAAGGGAGAAAAATGAACCAATCACTGAGATTAAACCTGACAACAGTGAGAGTAACCCAAGTGAAAGCCAGTCCACAGGGCCCATCCCTCGGTCAAGAGGCACTGCCCATGAGGGAGAGGGAGAGCTGTCAGTCAATCCAAGCGTCTCCAAGTGAGAGTCCTCAGCGGCTCGGTTCTTTGCCGAGGGCTGCTGTTACTCAAGTGGTGGAGGATTGCCTCTGCTCTTCAACAAGAAACAGAAAAACCTGACAGAGAATTCTTGTAGGCTATGTAGGCACGTGTGAAAATGAGAGTTTTCAACAAGAAAGTGTCATTCAAGCTCAGTGTTTAATGACAAAAAACGAGTTACGTATTTGTCAGACGTAGGTCTAACTTTGTCACGAAGAATCAGGCTTCTCTGCAGCGGCCTCCCCTGTGGTAGTTCCCTGTGCTCTGAGATACAACCCGACACTAAGTGACAGGGAAAGAAGAGCCATGGGGTGAGCGCAGAATAAAAGGCAAAAGAGGACGCTAAGCACAAGCAAAAAAATACGATGGAGGGGCAAAACTTTGGGGAGCTCTCCAAAGGAAAGGGACTGGCTGGATAAAGCGTGGGCCAGCAGGGCAGGAATGGCATGCCGTTTACAGACAGTAGCTTGGATCTGCGGTTAAATGGCTTAGACACACAGTTCAAAAGAGCGGCTTGAATGTTTGCAGAAACAGATGGAAATGGAAGTTATTATGTTGAGCCAATCAAGGCAGACTCAAGAAGACAAACGCTACATTCTCGTATTTAACGCGTGTGTACTTCCACGGACAGAGCAAGTTGCGAAGGGCTGCTTTATGGCATCCCACTTTGCACGGACAAATTGGAATACAAAGGCTACCCACGTGCATCTGTTTATGCAGATACAGGGGAAGGGGTATAAAGTACAACCCATGGCCTAGCACCTCTCTTTAGAGGGAGACTGTCTGAACATGGACATGGATGGATTAATGTTTTCCTTAAGCATCTCTACTTCGTACACCGTTCTTATTGTGAGTGCTTTTATGAACGTGGTTGTTTCATCCAGTCTTTGCAGTGATTCCAGACAGTATTAACAGGTGACAGGACACAGCCTCAGTCGCTCTCTAGAGATCACACACCTAAGAGCATTTCTTAGCCAGACCTGGCCTTAGGGCCTGAGTACTCTTGAGTACACCCCACTCTCTTCAAATGTGAAAGAGAGGCGGAGTCCTATTTTTGACTCAGTTCACGCAGCTGACCTAACTTGCAAGTGTCCTAGTTTATGTGTGAAAGAGGGACCTAGCGTAGGTGAGGATGCTGCTGAGATTAACCCAGTCTTTGCTGGCCAACCTCAGCAGAAGGACCGAGGAGACCTTGAAAGAATAGCGTTGGAGGTGAGCCTCTCGGGGCAAGGAGATTTGAAATGGCTCCTAGCAAACTGAACGTGTTCGCCTTTGAAATTCTCAGGGGTGATGAGAACCACTCTAGTGCTAGTAAGACTGACCTGGGCTATCTTGAGGGGCCCCCTTTTGGAGCATCCTCATGCCTTTTTTCCTTCCTGAGTAGGGGTTCTGGAGTGATAGTTGTGGACTGGGGGGTGGGAGAGAGACTGGGCTAAGAGGAGGATTCATTCAGATGTGTCTGTGTAGCTATGGAGAGTGCATTGCTAAAGACGGAAGACGCGTCTACAGTTTATTGGAGTTGGCTAATTCTGACAAGGCTCTTAAAAATGAAGTTTCTCTTGGCAAACGAGCTTCACTGTCAGCTCCAGCTGCGGGTGTCAGAGCGGGAGGCATGGACGGCCAACTATTCTCTCTTGCTCGAGCAGAGGCATTTTGCCTACTTTTTCTAAGTTTGTGCTCTCCCAAAGGCCCAAAATAATGGGAATATAACACTTAAACTGAAAAAAAAAAATCACCTGACACGGAAAAACGTGGTTTAACAAAAAGCTAAAAAAGAAACTCCGTGACGGGGTTCTCAATATTAGCACTTGGGGACCTTCAGCAGGTACCAAGGGACTGACGAGTGCCTGCCCACTGACGACCTGAGTTCAATCCCTGGAACCCACATGGTGGAAAAGGGAGAATCAACTCCTGGAAGTTGTCCCAATTTCCGTACGTGCACTGTGGCGCCTGCAGACTCACCTCCAAGCAGTCAGTGCTCTAGTATTAGAGATGCCGAGGCCACAGGAAGACCCTGGCACCAGCGGTTTCTGAAGCTTCCACACGATCCCGCTGCACAGCTGCAGAGGAGAACCAGAGGTCTGCCCAGTGGGAGCAGCAAAGGGACCAGCAGGTCACTGAGTGCTGCCGTGGGGCTTACTCTGGCAGAGAGAATTCCGTGGGCTTCAACAGTCAGCAGCAATCAGGCCTGGCCAGTAACCAACTCACAAAACAGAACCACATCCAGGGCTGTGTTCTTTTTCTATTCTGAATGGAAATGCTGACTAAGACCATAAAAAGTGATGAGTGTTACAACTTAAGATGACCCTTTTTGCTAAACGTGAACCGTGGTAACTCCTTCAGTGACTTACGATGCTTGAGGGCTTCTGAGAAAGGGGGATGGAGGAGAGTGGTTTCTAAAGTCTTGTCGATACCATGGACTTCACAGAGAAACCAGGTGATGACCTAGGGGTGACGCTGGTCTGGTGAACTGCTCCTTTCTCTCAGCTGGTGGCTTTCTAATCGGTTTGTACACACCAACTAATTAAGGGCATGTTGTGAATCTCTCTACTTACTAGAAAATAGCCTACAATCTTCTTTAGAGCTGAAAAATTTTGAGATCAGAAAAAGTGCCTTAGAAACAAAATGAAACAGGTTGTGTTAATTCTCCTGTGGAGCCCGGACAAATGTCTAACTTTACTTCAGACAGGGCATCAACAACAGACCAACAAAATGATTGCACTCACATCTAACCTGATGAACCAGGGAGCTGAATTTGACTGAGAGGAGCATGGGCCATTTGCAGACAACTACATCTCCAAGCACACAGTGCTTCCAGTGCCCAGCAACTGTTACCTGCTCATATATCCCTAGCCAGAGGGGAGCCTCATGGGCTCCGTGAGCCCTCCCCATTTTCAGGAGAGAATGCCAGCGGACCCAGTCATGTGAGGGTCTCGTGCAGGTGACCACAGCCGCTCTGCCAAGTCAGGCCCAGAGTGCCACCAAAAAATGCAAACGCCATTTGTCTATGTGGTAAATTGGTAAATGTTTTGATGCAATCCGAGGCCCCAACGAAATGAAGTCATGGAAGAGTGGCGATGTTCCAGATGGATAGCTTTAGTCAATCCCAGGCAGGCTGGTTCTGACGTCATCGACAACATATTCGCTCCCTCCTACCTTGCTGCCTTCTTTGGAGCAATCTGGCAGTGTTCACTGACAGAAGCTTTCTGGTGGGGATTTAGTCACAAAGGGAAAAGGGTGAGGAGGCACAGCCAGTTCTTGTGAGTGAGCAAAAGGACATATCATATGAAACAAAGTTTTAATTTTTATTTTACATATTTATACATAAAACTTTCAAGGAACCGTGTGGATCCAACAGAATGTTAATAGCACGTCTAAGAATGAACCTCAGGTAGTCAACATTCACAAAATGTTGAAAACTGATGAAAATAGACGTAGTATGGAGAGCTACGACTTCACTAGGAGGCGGGCATGTATTTTGACTTGTATAGCACCGTCATTTACAGTCCCTCTTCAAAACTACAGTGAAGAATGGAAGGGAGTAGTCAATGGCGAAATACTGTTCCAACTCAAAGTCTCTACACAATAAAAATAAAGTTCAAACTACCCTCTGCTCGTCCACGGTTGTTGGTGGTGTGAGTACTGTACACTTCTTGTAACAATAGTTTATTAAAAGGCCTGATATTAAGTGGCACGAGTAAAAAAATGAAAATAAATTAAGAAGCGAAGGCCAGTCACGGGACAGTAAGCTCGGACGACGTTACCAATGACTAACACTGACGTCTGTTTTGGAAGCCACCTTTAGCAACAGCGTTTTTCACGACCACAGAAGCAAAATAAATTCTAGCTTGTCCTCTGGTGGATGACCCCCTTTCACTTCGCAGGCATTTTCTCTGCCATGTGCTTCTGCTGACTCTCAGCGTGTCTGCAAAAATCAAGAACACAATTACTCAGCACTAAGAAGAAAGATCCCGACGCTTTCCAACCCACAGCTACAACACTCTCCGAATCCAGTTTCTGAGGGAAACACACTCGGGCCAGGGAAGAGCGCTTCCTTCAAGCTCGATCGACTGTCCTAGTTTTTATATGAGGTGATCTTGATTCCTTGATTATGTGACTCACAGGGGTAATTTGAGGCTGACAGATATTAACACTGTGAAGAAGAAAAGTGCTGTGTTCGGAAAATGTTAAGAGGTGAGTGTCTGGAATCCTTGCACCGGTGAGTACTGAAACTGTGTTATCTACATGTCAGGCACTACACCCAGGGCTGAGTCAGGCTGTGAGGTCTTTGGAGGGAACATTCCAGTGAAGGCCGTCAGGAAGGGGACAAATGGCAAATGAAGAAAGAACGGAGAGGAGATGAATATTAAAGGTGGGACTACAGCTCAGTAGTAGAGCACTTGCCCAATGTGTAGGGTGGCCCAAAGGTTACTCCAGAAAGTAAAAAGGTAAAACAAGTCAAAACCAGATGTTGTGATTGAGTAGCTGGGTGTTAACAGAGCAACTATGTAAACACACACAGACTGGGGCATTAACTAAGGCTGATAGGAACCTGGAGCTAGCCATCTAATGTGCTCTTAGAGCTTACGTCAAATGAATGCATGATGTAAAAGCCCTGGGGATGTAAAGATTTCCCACATTAGCATAAGTTCCCCCACCTCCAGTTGATTTTGAGGCCATAGTTAGGACAATAAAACAGGGCCAGAGTGGGTGTGATGTGAAACTTGGCCACCAGAAGGTGGGTGGTGGGGACAGGAGGATTGGCCAGGTTCTTGGCAACCCCCTGGACAGGCACCACCCCAAGAACCGTAGGATCTGTAGGCTGCAAAAAGTTAAAAAGTTTTGAAGGAAATGACAAATCTTGTGAGAGGCTAAGGCTGTGGTTTCTAACTGTCATCAATGTTCGGGGACAGCATGTGTGCTTTTGGATGTGGGGAGTCAGTGACGTCACGCCTGAAGCCCTGGTGTTATGCAGAATGCCTCCCATCCATGGTCCAGAGAAGACAAACCACGGGCAGTTTCAAAAACTGGGGAAGTGACACCAGCGTCCTCGCCACATGCAGAAACTCAGGAACCAAAGGCAATGCACGTTTAGCAATCAAGGAATGCAGGGAAATGCTGTTGTTGGCTTTCTCTCCCCTAAAAGAAGGCCATGTTGATGGCTATGAAGAGCTACGGATCCTTTTCACATAGCAGATCGTTTTCATATTGCAGTCTGTGTGTATCTTAAGAAAACTCAATTCAACAGACATTCTGGTGTTCTGTGATGGAAGATTCACTACAGCTAACTGAATTACAGTTCCTGGTTTGATGTACATCTACACACTAGTGCACACGGGTGCACACCTCAAGGGACTTTCTGCAAAGGAAAGAAAAAGAGGCAATAAACAGCTTCAGGAAATATGGCAAGCTACACGTTCTTTTGAGACATACGTAGGAAGGATTTCATTAAAATTTAAAGAGGGAAAGGATTTCAATAAACCCCTTCATTAATCATTTTTAGCAATCCTTTATAAGACGTGCAGCATCCAAGCTCTGCAAAAACTTTTTATAAACAACCATTACTGAGGACCGACTATGTGCATGGTAGGCTCAGTGCTAGGCTCTGGAGACACAGCAAAGAATTCCAGTGGTCTCACCCCTGCTTTCAGGGCAGAGAATTTATCATTGTCTGGGGAGAAACAGCAGACCAAAATGACAGTGTGATGAAGCTCCTCACGGCCAGGACACAGAGGAGGGATATAAGCTGGCCTTGGCATCCTCACAGCTGGTGCCACTCTGTGATACCCATCACATGGCTGCTCACGTGTGGAAACTCAGCAGTATGGAGTGAGTGGGAGCTCGTCCCTAGGGATGGTTTTTTAGAATCAAGCCCTCCAAGGTCACAACTGTTGAGTGGATTTAGGTGATGGTGTAGGATATCCTGGAAATCCAGCACAAGGAGAGAATAAATACCAAAAACTGAGCTCTTGGGCGTGGGAGACAGAAAGAACTTCTTTAAAGAGACAGAAGTGATTTTTCAAATTTCCTGGAAACTCTAAAAAAAAAAAAAAAACCCAATTCCTAGTCTAGTCCTAGAATAATTAAACCAGAATCTCGGAGGGGGTGGGGTGGGGCTTCCAGCGAGAGGAGCCAAAAGTGAATGGACTGGATTTGAACTAACATCTACAATGACGGTAGAACAAGTAGAGGAACCTGGGGACCCAAACTTCCCGGAAGTGTCTCTCTGGTACTACCACTCGGAATGGCTAAGCACCCTCTGGTTGTTCCCTGCCCCGATGCAGTTCCTCCAACCCCCGGAGCAGAATGACCCGAAGGACGGCTCTCTCCCTCCATGGGGAGGGCTGGAGCACCGTGTCCCTGCCTTTTATAGGACTGCTCCAACTGAGAAGCTCCCTCTATCACCTCCAGACTAGCTACCTCTCACCTCCTGACCCCAAGGTCCCACTTACTCTGTCTCCCAAATCACCCCATCTATACACATAGGCTCACGGAGAAACTAATATGAAGCCTAACACCTTTAGAAATGGCGGTGGCGGCTGAGGTGGGAGGGGGGGGCGGCGGGAGGAGGAGGGGGGCAGCGGCAGCAGGAGGAAGGGGGCGGCGGGAGTCCCTCAGTGTCTCCTTCAGCAAGGAATGCCAGCATCTCCACAGAGATGGAGGCAGTTTCTGCTACCACAGGAAAATCGGAGCTTATGGAAGACTGCTGACTTCTTTTGTGAACTACAGGACCTGGCTGCAAACTTCACTGCTGATTTCCTGTCTTTTCAATTCCATGACACTTGAATTCTGGGTAAGGTGCTGTACAGTTGCTGACGTGTGATGCCCCAACAGGTCTCCAGGTGGCAATAGCAGCATTTGAGTTATTCTCAACTTACAAGGCCTACTTTTCCCCTTTTTCAGATGAGGGATAAGATAACTTGAAGCATACAAACCAGGGGCCATACAAGTGTGAGGACTGGATTCCAGAATCTGGATCCAGTCTGGATTCCAGAATCCACGTATATGCTGGGTGGGCATGGAGACCTGCCTGTAATTGTAATCTCAGAAGGCAGAGGTAGGGGAGCCCCAGAGCAAGCTGGTTAGCCAGACTAGCCATGTAGGTAGAGCAGAGATCAAGTACGATTCTTGACATCCACTTTGGGCTTTCACATGCAGGTGCTCACTGTGGGCCCTAAAACTGAGCCTCAACAGTATGCAGCTTTTGTTTATTACAAATATTGTTTCAATGACATTGCATGATTAGAAACATAGTTTATCACCTGTTCCTCACTGAGGCAAAATCCTGCGGCAGGGCTGAGCACACTGGCACTACTTGTGATTTTGAGCTTCTGGGGCACATGCCTAATGCCTTATGCCATTGGGATGAGCAGAGTTCTTTTGGGGGGAAGCTTCTCTCTTCTCTCTCAATACATTTTGGGGCTTAGCAGCAACTGTTATCTCCTGGTTTAAGAATGTCATGTGGACTATCTTGGAAAAGGTGCCACAGTCCACTTGAAATCACAGGTATATTTGCAGTATTTCATGTGCATATATACATCATCTATAACACACATGTATGATATATACTGTACATGTATGGTGGGCTTTCCTATGAGGGGAGTTACTAAGAACTGGAACTCCCTGACCAGCACTTGCCTGATTCATTACTTCTAACCAGCGAGGTGGCTGGAGCCATGTCCAGCATGACACTCAGATCTCAGAATTTCCCCATGGTGAGAACGATCTGGTGGCACCCGGGCTGTGGAAAGATGCCAGGATCCTTGCCTTCTAGGCATGGCAGTAATGTTCAAGAGCTGGGCCACATATTAGCTGGTGTCTCTTTGTGGCACCAACCATGTGCTACTCCTGTGCTGGAAACAACAGAATGGAAGGAATGAGGGCCAACTGCCTTGGTGGGAGTGGGGGTGGGTGGATGGGCAGTTTTGCAGGATGAAGTCCTTCTAGGCTAGAACTGTTGCTCTGATTTAGGGAACAGTGTAAGAGGTCCTCATGGACTGACAGCTATCATCATTTCTGGGCTTGGAGATGGATGACTCAGTGAGTATAATGCTTGCTTTGAAAGTGTGAGAACTGGAGTTTGGAACCTGTGAGCCTTGTTATCTTTGTCAACTTTAACACAGCTTGGAGTTACCTGAGAAGAAAGCTTTGACTAAGGAACTGACAAGATCAGATTGGCTGGTGAGCCTGTCTGTGGGAGATGTCCTCATTGTTAATTGATGCAGGAAGGCCCAGCCCACTGTGGGTGGTACCACTCCCCAGGCAAGTGGTCCCAGACTGTATGAAGAAGGTAGCTGAGGATGAAGGAGCCTGAGTGAGCTGGACAGTGAAGGAGCCAGCCAACAGCCTTCCTGCATGGTTTCTGCCTTAGAGTTCCTGCCTTGACTTCCTTCAGTGATGGACTAGAACCTGCAGGCACTCCAGCTTGTCCTCTGACCTCCACATGCGTGGCGGAGCACATGCATTACCCTCACCCCCAACATTCAGAGTAAGAATAATGCGTTTCCTAAAGAGATTTGGGGCCTCTTCCTCTCTTGTAAACGGCAAACACCAATAGCTGTTTGGTGAGTTAGGTACAAAAGCAAGGGATTAAGTTCCCAAGAGCCGATGTTTGTCTTTGTCCTTTAACTTCGGTCTACCCATGGCTACTTTTCTCCTTTGGAAGAGGGGAGCCAGACTGACCTGGTCAAGTCTTCTATGTCCACCAGCATGGCATCTTGTTCTGTGTGCAGCTCATCTCGGATGAGGAGCAGCTGGACCAACTCTTCATTCAAACCTGGGTCAAAAAAAGGGAACACTAAAAACTACATCAAAACCAGAACATGCAACTATGTATGGCCCATTATGCATGTTCACAGACACAAAAGTACATATAAAGTATAATTCAACATCATAGGAAAGGAGCTTCTTTCGTGTGTATGTGTGATTTGCATGTGTGTATTTGTATGATCTTTTCATGTATAGGTGCACAACCATACATGTGGAGGTCCAAAATTTATGTTGGGAATGATAATTCCACCATGAAAATAAGACCTCGTAATCAAACCCAGAGCTCACTCACACACTACTCTTGCTAGCCACACAGCTAGTCTTGCTAGCCACACAGCTAGTCTTGCTAACCTTCTCACTCTAGGGATCTGCTGTAGCTACCTTCTGAGGTAGGATTACGGGTGGCATCGTACCCACCCAGCATTTACACGGTATTCTGGGGATCTGAATTCCAGTGGACTCTTATATTAGCTTCTCATACATGCAGGTCAAGCACCCGCTGGAGCAACATAACCTGTTTGTAAAATTAAAGAAACGCTGAAGAGAAGAAATAAACCACAGATGGAATATCTCCTATCTGAAATGTTCAGGACCAGAAGTGTCTCTGCTTTCTAAGTTGTTTGAGTTTTGGAGTATTTACCCATAATAGAAAAGATTCAATCAGTTAAGTAACCCAAGCCCAAGATATGAAACTCTTCGGATATTCCATAACATTTTGGGTTTTAGATTTAGAAATATTCAACCTGTGTTTTCCATTCACTCATAATACAGTCACAAAAGAAATTGCTAGCTGCTAGAAAAACAGCTTGTTAGTAGAACCAGGGCTTCAGGGCTGGGGCGGTGGCCCAGTAATTAAGAGCACTTGTTGCTCTCGCAGAGGACCTGGGTTCGGTTCCCAATACCTACATGGCAGCTCACAACCACCTGTAACTCCAGTTCCAGAGGATCTAATGCCCTGTTCTGTTCTCTACAGGGACTGCATGTATGCAGTATGCAGACAAAACACCCATGCAGATAAAATAAAAACAAAATTTAAAAACTATGTGCTAAATAAATGTCTTTAACAAAAAAAACCCAGGACTTTGGGGAAGTGTGAAGAGTAGTTTTTAGATTACATTATTTCTTCACCCTTCAACTTTGGGAGCTCCCCAGTCTCTAAGGGTGACACCCAGATGCCAGAGGTGGGCACATCCAGGATGCCCAGGGCCTTTACACGACTCTAGGGAGCGGTGTGCTCTGAGAACATTCTCCGAAATACTGCAAAGTTAGATTTCTGGTGTAGCAGGATGTGTAAGATCTGAGGTAAGATGTCTGGAAAACAGAGTACAATGAGAATATTCCTGAGTGCTTGCCCTTACAGCCAGAAACTAAATGTATGAATATGGAAACATTTCTAGTGCCCTCCCCCCAAATTAGGGGGCTGGGTCAATGTGGTTCAGGAAAAAGCAAGGAGCTCGTTCTTAAGTTTTTCCCTTAGAGAAGCTAAGAGTTACAGCTATTAGGTCCACACAAAGGGAAAAGACCCACTGAAAAAAGCCGTGAGCAAAGACCCAAAAGGAGGGCGTAGGCTTGTTGCGATGGGCCCCTTGGACATGTTTTCAGAGATTTTGACTTCAAACGAGGCCTCTGTGCCTTCAGTTCAGAAGAGTTTGCATCTTGAAAGGGGGGGGGGGGATCATACCCAAAGCTCTAAAAACTCCACGTGCACCTAACAAGCAACTTTATGACTTCAAAGTCTAGAGGAAGGTGTTTCCATGGTAAAATACTCTTAACCCTTGGATGTGTAACAAGCCCAGTGATGACACAAAATTAAAGTTAATGTATATCCTGTGAATCTAGGGTTTTAAAATGAAAACCCTAAAGCCGGGTGTGGTGGCGCACACCTTTAATCCCAGCACTCGGGAGGCAGCGGCAGACAGATCTCTGAGTTCGAGGCCAGCCTGGTCTGCAGGGTGAGTTCCAGGGCAGCCAGGGCTGTTACACAGAGAAACCCTGTTTCGAAAACGCCAAACACCAAGCAACAAAACAAAAATATTAAAATCCTAAACCCTTTTCTCTTGATTCTGAAACAATACTACGTAAGCACTGAATAGATCTCGGTTTTTATTTAGACCCAGTGAAAAAAAAATCATCTTTTACAGTTGCTCCTGGGTGGCCTTCCTGACCACCAGCCAAGAGAGCGCCTGCACATCGGAACCCTTCGTGCGTGACAGATTGGTTTTCGCACCCCAGCCCAGCCCCATAGTAAGTTTTAAACTTTCTACTATGGAAAATTGCAAACTCACATAACAGCAGAGAAATCTGTTTAATGATTCCCTACAGATTCCATCAGGCTTCAACAACGACCAGCTTGAATCATCTCTCTCCCGAGTCTCCAGGACTATTTTACAGTAATTTTAGAAACATATAGTCTTGTTTCTAAAGGCATAAATGTGCATCTCTAAAAGAAAGGGCTATTTAAAATTCACAAGATTCCCATATCTTTAGCAAACTAATAATAATAATAATAATAATAATAATAATAATAATAATAGAAAGGTCTATTTGAATGCATTTGATAGGTATTTCTCTTCTCTCAGAATTCCTCTCAATCTTCTAAATCCATAGGATTATACAGTCATATTCTGGGGACTGGGGCGGGTGATATCATCTGGGGACCTCGCTGCCTGGTGGGGACACCATCTTTCCCTGGGCCAACCATGGCCTGCTCTCCGTATGACAGATGACCTTCAGTGATCGCCACCCCCACCAACTCCCCACCCTCTCTGGACGCTTCTGTTTAGGCACTTTATGCTGAAGGGGAAATCTTCTACTTTGTAATTTTTCCATATTTGTAACTATATATTCACCACCTAAAAATCAGTGTCATTTGATGTGAGTGAAGGCAATGATACCTCAAACAAATGTGTACGTGAGTAAAGCAGAAGGGATAATTGTGAAAAGCTTACAGCTACAGAAGTTTATTTCACCAACAGAGGTGTGTTAAATACATGCCCCGTGACAGGAGCTAGCAATTTAAAAAGGACCCGTAACCATGGTGAACCTTGGACAATTCTAAAAGCTCCTGACGTTTTACAGTTAGAAAAGGAAAGAAACAATGAAAGAGTCCTGTGGTTGTCTTGAACCTTGCAAACACACAGACAGCCCAGGGAAGATACCCCACAGAAGGACTGCATCCACAAAGCAGCCTCACCGCCCCTCACCGTTCTCCATCCCAGGCGGATCTCCCACTTACTTTCAATCTGGGAGTGGAGATCGTTGACGATCACCTGTAGCTGCCCGATCGTCATGTCTCTCAGGTCAGTGGGCTTTAAACTTCTTTTCATCAAACATTCACTTATGTGAGGCATGTGTGGCAGCTGCAGACACAAAGGGGGGGGGGAGGTGTGAGCAGAGCGGCCAAGACCCCAGGAAAGATCCTGTCTGCTCTCAGGAGACCCCCCCCCTCCATCGCCCACTTCCCCAGCCTCTGCGCTTCCCAATGGTGGCCCCACATTGCACATCCGTTTCTTACTATGATGCCCTGTGCATCCCAAAGGATGCGCTGTCTGCATCATGGGCTTTCTGGTTGGTCTCTGACACACGAGTTATAGGGTACGTAAGTAACAGGGAGAGCGTGGATAAAATGAACAATATCACAATATCAGCTGCTGTTTAATACTTTATACCCTGCCATCAGGCGTTCGAAATGCTCTGAATGCCTTTCTCACTGTCTTCAACAATCATACTCTCACCCAGATGCCGCTACCCACATTGCACGAGAGAAAACGGACACGTGAGTCCAGACCCGGGCAGCAGGTCCGTGGCAGAGCCTATTGTGACTGCTAGGTCCTGGGCACTAATTCAT